TTCCCCTAAGCTCTTTCAAACAAGATAAATCCTGATTATCCAAGCACCAACGACGAGTTAAGGGACAGACAGCGAGGAAAGTCAGGCTACTGAAGCGTGATGCTTTCTTGAAAGCTTGGAGCAAACAGTTCCAAGTTTTGCTGTCAGCTCCCCATCTCGGGAGCAGGGCTGGACATGAAGGGGCTTGAGCCCCTCTCACGAAGGAGATCCAGCCCCACCATCCACCACAGCAAAGTTTTCCTTCCCTTGCACGGCTCACACCAAGGGAAAGCAAACACATCTCAGGATCAGGGGGTGCGAGTTCACTCAGCGGTGCCCAGGTGTGACACTGGATCCGAGGACGCTCCCAGCCGGACCACCCTGACAACAACAGCGGCACGAAGGCAAAAACAAGTCAGGACAGCCCTGAGGAGGGACAGGAGCTCCGGATCCCCGGCACACCCGGGCTCGGCGACGCGGAGGAGGAGCCCACGGTGCACAGGGAAGCGTTTGTTATTATGAACAACACTTATCGCTGCGGAGGGGGTGGCAGCCGCTACTACGCTGAGGCTGGAGGTAAGCGGGTCCCAGCACAAGTGCCAAACATTTATTTTTACTTTACCCCGCACGAAAACAAAATCTCTACCACAAACAGCTTTGCTAGAGTTCTCTGTGAGGGCGATGAGTGGCTGAGTCGCCTTCTCACCACCCGAAAGTCACCTTCTTACCTCCAAGCTGCCTTCTCGCCCCTCGAGCCCTCATGGGGAGCGGGGCACAGCGACACCAGCCCTGTCACCGCTCCCCGCTCCGGTTCCCCCCCCGGGCAGACCCGACCAGGCGGCAGAGCTCCGAGCTTTCGAGGAACGACGGCAGCATCAGGGCTGGAGAGGGCAGAGGGACTCGCCGCCCGGCTCCGGCCTGAGCCGGCTCACCCCGGCGGCCGCACGGCCACCGCCTTCCCCTCTGCCCCACCGGGGGGCGGCCGGGCCCCGGAGGGCCGCGGCTCCCAGGGCCGTGCCCAGGGCGGAAAGCGGCGCATTCCTGGCCGCCCGTCGGGGAGGCCGCGCCGGGGAGCCGCGGGCCTCGAGCGGCCGCCGGGTTGAGCCGGGCCGGGGACTCCCGAGGGGAAACGCGGCCGCTGCGCCGCGGGCAGGGCCCGCCCGGGACCCACCTGCGTCCATGGCGGCCCCGCCGAGGCTGCGGCCGCCGCCGACACTCACGCCCGGCGCGGCCCTGCGCGGCTGCTGGCGCGACGCGCCGGTCCCGGCCAATGGGAGCGCCGCTGTCCGCCGCACTCCGCGCCGATTGGCTGTTGTTGGTTTCGTCAAAGCTCGGCGCGCCGGACCGCTGCCTGCGGACAAGGGAGCTGCCATGTTGCCGTACGGAGAGGCAAAGCGGAGCGCGGGGAGGCAGCGGGCCGGCACTGGGGCCGAGGCTGGGGCTATAGGGCGGCGCAGAGCGTGAGGGCGCCGCCCCTTGCCTAGAGCCCCGACGGGCGCGTCCCGTGACATGTATACCTAAGGAATAATGTGATATATGGGTGCCGCCATCATGTTGTACGGAGCTGGCCCAGCCCCGCCCCTCGTTCCCCGTGAGAGTAACCCTCCCTACCATGCCCGCCCCACTCGGAGACGCCTTTCACGGCTCATCTGCCACGGACGGAGTGCCTCGTCGGGAGGGGGACACCCAGCTGCGCCCACGAGGCAAGCGAGAGGCGCAGTGAGCGAGCTCCCCCTTTCCCCACCTGCCCTGAGCCGTACGGCTGCAGCTCGGCCAAAATGGCGGCGGCCATGTGGCGGCCGCCATGTTGTGCCGTACAGAAACCCCTTCCCCAGCGGCGAGGGGCGCCGGGGTGACCCGGCTCCGCCATCTTGCCGTACGGCGGCGCGGCGGGGCCGGGGCCGGGGCGGGGGCCGGGGCGGGCCCGGCCGGCCGAAGGCGGCGGCGGCGGTCGGAGATGGTGATCTGCTGCGCCGCCGCCAACTGCTCCAACCGGCAGGGCAAGGCGCGTTGCGGCGCCGTCTCCTTCCATAGGTAAGGGCGGCCCGCCCGGCCCGCCGCGAGTGCCACGGACGGTCTACCCGCGCCCCTGTCCCGATCCCCTGTCCCGCTCCCCGCGCCGGGCCCCCACGGCAGCGGCTGCCCTTTGTTTCCTTCAGGGGAAACCGGCTCGGGGCTGCCGGATCCTCCAGCCCCGGCCGGGCAGCGGAGCGCCCCTCGCCGCGGGGCCCGGGCCCTCCCCGGCCTTTCCCCCTGATCCTGCCCCGGTCCGTGCCCCCCGCGGCCCGTCCTGCGCCTCATCCCTCCTGGGGATGCTGCCCCCGGTGAGTCCCGGGCTTAGTCCCTGTCTGGGTGTCCCATTGGAAACGGAATCTGGCTCCCCTGCTCAGGGGCTTTCTTGCGCTCCAGGTATTTCTGCACCTCATTAAATGTTATTAAACACACCCAGCGTAAGCAGCACCCGGGTCACGGAGGCAGCGCTGGGCAGCGTGTCGGCTGAGCTGGCTTTACTGGCAGTGGTCACATCCCCCTTCCTTGTGGATAGGTTGTTCCTCGTGGGGCTGGTGACGGGAATAATGGATAGATTGCTGATGAAAATGGAAACAAGAGCTTTGAGTCCTGTGCTTTTTGTGAAGTGGAACTGTTGACGCAGCGAATGACTATCAGATATTTCAGCCCAAAGTGAAATAATTCATAAATGAGTGTAATTTAATTCGTAAATGAGTGTAACTTACCAAAACACAACTTTTCCTAAAATCTCCTAAACCTAGCTGTCGCCTTGGACTTGGTCATCTTGAAGGTCTTTTCCAACCTCAACAGTTCTACAATTCTATGGTTCTGTAATTCTCCAGGTACCAGCCCTTCTGATTTCCAAAATATAGCTTATTTTGTCTGTTCATTTTTTAGATTCCCTCTGAAGGATTCGAAGCGCTTGATTCAGTGGCTGAAAGCTGTTCAGAGAGACAACTGGACTCCCACCAAGTATTCCTTCCTTTGCAGCGAGCATTTCACCAAAGACAGTTTTTTCAAGCGGCTGGAAGACCGGCACCGGTTGCTGAAGCCCACCGCTGTCCCTACCATCTTCCAGCTGGTGGAGAAGAAACACACCAAGCTGGATTATGTCAGGAGCCGAAGGAAAATAGCCAGGAAGGTGCGGGATGGGGAGACCCTGCGGGAAGCAGGCGGTGAGGTAGCACAGAAGGCCCCGTCTTCTGGCCAGGACTTCATGGTGACACAAGGGACGAAAGAGATGGAGGAGGCCACTCTGAAAGAGGAAATAGGATCAGTGTCCAAGGAGGAAGAGGCCCTCCACAGCCAGCTGGATGGCCCTCGGAGAAGGACGTTAGGGGATCATTTGGGTGCGCAGAAAAAGCCCGAGAGGTCTCCTGTGGAAGACTGTGCCAGGGGGAGCTGTGCGGGGAGCTGGGGGGCAGACAGGAGCGGCGTGTCAGTGGACGACTTCACCCCTCCTGCCTCTGGTGCTTGCAAATTCATCGGCTCCCTCCACTCATACAGCTTTTCCTCCAAGCACGCCAGGGAGAGGCCAGCTCTCCCCAAAGAGCAGCTAGAAAGGAAAAGGCCAAAGAGAGATGTGGAACCGAGCTGCAGCAGCCACCTCTTGGGACACGACAAGGCCGTCGCGGAAGTGTCCCCGACGTCATCCCTCACCGCCACCCCTCAGAAACCCTCGCAGGGTCTGTCGGCGTCGCCGGCAGACCTGACCCCTCGGCCCGCCACCGAGGCCGTGCTGGGCCGGAAGGGGGACACGGACGCCAACCCCATGTCCATCAACGAGGTGATCATGTCGGCCTCGGGGGCCTGCAAGCTCATCGACTCGCTGCACTCGTACTGCTTCTCCTCCCGGCAGAGCAAGAGCCAGGTGTGCTGCTTGCGGGAGCAGGTGGAGAAGAAGAACGGGGAGCTGAAACTTCTGAGGCAGAGGATCAGCCGCTCTGACAGCCAAGTCAGGAAGCTGAAGGAAAAGCTGGATGAGATGAAGCGCAACAGTTTCCCTTACTTGAACAGCCTGATATCCCAGGACTGTGGTCAGTATTCCCAGGGGTTCTGCACTCTGAGGTGGAATTCCCTATTTTCTCAGGCACCGTTTAAGCTGGATGCTGTAAAGCTGTGATGGGGAAAAGGTGTTGTCTTGGTTTGAAAGACAAGTGTCTGCTAAGGAAGGCAAGAGCAATTATTATAATTTTGAAATTAAGGAGCTCTCAGGCAAAGATATGGGAATAGGAATAACAGTTCTTTGCTAGGAAAATTAAAATAAAAATACGGTGATACAAAATGACAAAGCACTGACAGAGTCAGAATCCAACCTGAGACCCCATCAGTCAGTCAGGGTGTTGGCAGCAGTCCCATTCCATGGTGGCTGCATCCTCCTGCAGTGACAGATGTGGTTCTGGTGGAGCAGTGCTCCTGGAGAAGGTGCAGTTTTCCTCCAAAGCTCCAGTGATGATGAGGAAGGGTCTGGTTTTCCTCTGGAATCAAGTGGAAAAAGACTGCTCTGATGTTCCAAATCTCAGATTTTATCGAGGTAGAAATGCTTGGCTCCTCCCCCTGGGTGGAGCATCTCCCAATGGGATGATGGAATTTTATCAGTCATGCACTGGGACTCCATGGCCATTAATAGGAGATATCTCCTGGAGGAAGGATGGGTTGTGGAAAAGACAAAGAACGCTGCCCCAGTTGGTTTTAACAGATGGCTCATTGACAGAAGATATCCCCCACCAGGAGCTAAGGATCACTGCCCCACCTGGTTTCAACAGATGGTGATAGAATACATACTTTTGGTCACATCCTGCTTTGCAAGCCAAGATTGGTATGAGAAAGGGACATTCTGGGAAGGAAAAGTAGAGCTTGTGTAAGACCAATGGATACAGATTGAAGAATTTGCTCAGTGGGCACACAAGTTAATTCTTATATCCCTAACCTTTCCAAGATGTGGAATGGGAATTTAGGTTGTAGTGTTGCAGGCAACTCACTTGATGAATTTATTTTCTGTTCTTGCAGTCGTAGCAGCAGATATCTGGGAAAGCTGTTATTGTCCTCAGTGGCATAAGAAATAGTTTTGATATTGGATTTCCTACGCTGCACTCAGTACTCAGGATGCAGGAAATATAAGCAAGGTGGGAGGTATCAAGTATGACAACATTGTGGTGCACATTGAGGTCACAGTTTGTGAGCAAATGTCTGTGTTTGCTTTGATCCTTTCCTTCCTTGGAAGGCAGAAGAAGTTGAGTTAGGGTATTTAGTGTAAGTATTTAGAGTTCCATAGTTGTCATTCATATATATATACATATATATATATATATGTATGTATATGAAATATTTATATATATATTTTAAAAGGTGTCTGCCTTTGTTGGAATACCTTCACTGAGATATTAATTGTAGAAAGAGTATCTTTAAGGATGTTTTTCTTTATTCTGCTAAGCACTGTGATTTTTCTCCTTTTTCCCAAGATTAGTGTTTTTATACATATGTCTTTGAGAAGTGAAAATTTTATGTTCTTGTAGAAGATATTCTTAATATATGAGTTACATGCTCTATTTTATAAGGGAAAATGTAATTTTTCTTAATGAATTTACCAATTCATTACCCATTCTGCCATCTTTTATCATCAAAACTGGAGATCAGCCTGTGAAAATGAACCATTTTGGCAATTGTAGCTTGGCATGATAGGAAGTTCATATGGAACCCTTTGGCTGGGATCTTTTTTAAAGGGTGTGTTGGTGGCTGTTTCTTTTTTTTTTTTTTTAGCTTCATCTTGGTGCTGTTCTGTTTTGGACTCTTTTTTGTGTGCTCATAGTAAGTTTATGGCAGTGAAAATAGCTGATGAAGTGCTGTCAGGCAGAGTCTGGTTCATGCCCAGACACTGAGTTTTGCTGTAATACAGAGCTGAGTTAAGAAAGCCTTTTCATATTCATAAAAATAGAGTCAGGTAACACGTTAGGTTAATAATAGTCTTTATTAGCAGCCATGTCTCAGCTGTCCCAACTCATCTGATGTGTGGTTGAGGTGATGGTTTTAGCTGTGAACCTGAGCCTGCATATTTTTTTTTTCTGCTAAAGGCACTTCCTTGAGTATAAGTACCTGACTGGACTGACTGTGCAGGTTGTTACCTGTCTGCATCCCTCATCTTCAGCTGTTTCCACAAAATCCTGAGCACAAAAAACGAACTTTAGGCCCACACCCACTCGGCAGAACTTAATTTCAGTGCTAGTTCTCACATACTTTCTTCTAATGAGACAAATAAATTTCTGCTGGCTGTATCCAAGCTGCAGCAGGTTGGGAAGAGCAGGTTTCTGCAGGAGTGCTGCACAGCACTGCCTGCTAGCCATGCTTGAGGCTGGGTGACTCAGGATGGGCAAGTGGCTCCCAGCTCCAGCTGTAAGGATGTGCCTGAGTGGTGTTTCCCAACCTGTCTTACCAGGGAGATCGACTGGTTTGGGAGAAGCCCCAGGTTGTCTCCAGCACAGCACGGCTGCCACCGTGGCCTTTTCCCTCTAAACTTTGAATTGAGGTGTTTGTTTGGTAGGAGAATATTTCCTTCTGTTTCATGAGGTCCATGGTCCAAAGGCTGAGGAATGCTGTTGGTGGGGTTTGGCACGGTGTAGCAGGCAGGACAGGGTTAGATGTGGCTTCTGGAGGATGACAGGATGCCCTGGGAGAAATGGGGGAGAGCCAGCAAGCAGCCAGGGATGTGTCCTGGGGAAGGCATGGCTGTTCTACCAGCACTACTCTGTCTGACCATCTTGTTCTGCATGAAGGTCTCACAGCCCTGCTGCATCAGAGATCCCAGCAGCTCCTTCCACAGCATCACCTCCTCTTGCCCCAGTTTGGTCCTGTTGTAAAACTACATCTCCCAGCAGGCAGCAGGATCAGTGTCTTACCCAAAAATGAGCTCACTTCCCTCATAGCCATCTTACCACCCTGCGCAAAGCACTTTCTGGGGACAGGGGGGGCTCCAGGTAGAGCAAATAGCAAAATACCTGCAAGTATGGCTGGGCATGGAGCAAACACAGGTAGGATTCCATGGGATTTGAGTTTCTGTGTTCATCAGAGAGGTAAAGCTCTTGGAATTCAGCTGCTTGGGGGTATGAGGAGCCTCTTCCATGCTGCATGGCTGTTTTCGTCAAGGTCATATTAAAGGCAGGAGAGTTTGCAAAATGAGTTCATGTGAAAAATGGTTAGAACTGTGCTAGGAATCTGTGGGAAATCTGGATTGGATTTGTCTTTGAGTATCTGTGCAAAGCCAGTGTAGAAATGGGGTCATTTACACTGCTTTTTACATGCAAATGAAGCATAGTTGGTGAACTTCAGGGACGGAGCACTTAATTCGTGATTTTCTCCTGAGGTGGAGTCCTGAGGCCTGGTCTGTGGTATTGCCACCCATCGTGGTGGCAACAGATTTCAGTCATGTTGCAGAAAACGAATAGCAAAATCCCATTCCTCGCTGGCAGTGAGAAGTGGGGTTGGGCATGGTTGAAGGTGCTGTGCTTTCACCTGTCTGAGAAGGACTGGACCAGCAATGGGTTGGTGTCTAGTTCAGCTTGAAAATGAACTGTGTCTAATGTGTCACAGAAATGTGCTGTCAGGAAAATTGCCTCCACCAGAGCAGGCACTGCTAGCCTGGCATGTTAACTTGGTGCTAGATTTTGGAAGAAAACTGCTTTTATTCTGAGACAGCAGGTGCTTCTTGTGATTTTTTTTTTTGTGCCCTGTCTGGGATGGGAACAGCCAGGGTAGAAAACTGCTCCGTAGGATGGGCATTGCAAAGAACAAGGAAGCTATAAAGTAAAATAAGAGTGAGATAAGGAACAGGAATACGTGTGCATAGGCTAAGAGTGGGGCTGAATCTGTGGCAGAAGGTATCTTGAAAGAGGCTGAGAAAGACTTCACCACGGCCTGAACATTTGGGTGGGAGGTGAATTTTTTTGTGCTCAGCATGGGAGCAAGCAGTGTGCAGGTACACCAGCTTTGAGACTTGGTTGAGGAAGGTGGTTCTTTGACCTCCTCCTTGGAGACAAAGGCAGTTGGAAAGGAGGAAACAAGACTTTTTGCACAGCTGTTGTTTTTTTTTTAGTATTTTCAGTGGGATGATCTTGTTCTTTCCAGGTTTTTTTTGCCTAATAGTCTATAGAGTTTGTGCATTAAGCATTTAATTTTGCAGTGAGTTGGCAATGACTCACAACAAAAACCTAGCTTGCAGCTAGGAAGCAATGAAACAGCAAACTAAGGAAAACTCGAGAGAAAGTCAGGCTGAGCTCAGGTAGGGTGTCTGGTTTCTCATAATAGAGTATAATTTTAAAAATATTTTCTGTGTTTTGTAAAGCAGAATTACAGGCACTGGAGCATTACCACCTTGGTGCTTGGCTATGAAATTAATTACTGAGTCTATAGCATGAACATTTGTGAATATAACCACATTCTCAGCGTTTGGAGCAGAGATGGGGTGATCTGTTCAACAGCTGATCTGCTGACACCTGGTGGGATGCATCTTTCTTGGGGAAGAAAGAGTTTTGGCACAGGAGCTGGCAGGGCGTGTTGACAGGGCCTTAAAGTAACTGGGAAAGGGGCAAACCCAGGGTCACCTGGGCCAGTGGGCTGGAGTGCCTAAACTTGAGTGATGGGATCCCTCAATCTGCTTCACCACGTGTTGGCCACAATGCCTCCCAGCAGAAATGTCTCTGTATTCATGCACCCAGCGTGAGGGACCAGTGAGCAGCTCAAAGCTTCCATTCACAGAGCTCTGACATCATTGGCATAAGTGAGACCTGGTGGGAGTCTTCTCTGTGATAATTCCAGGATCTTCAGGATCCTAGACAGGGCAGGAGAGGCAGAGGGGTGGCACTGTATGGAATAGAAGGGTTGGAGCGTCTGGAGCTCACCATTGGCAGTGACACAGTTGAGAGCCTTTGGATAAGAATCAAGGGGCAAACAAATAATGTGGATTTCACTGTGGGAGTCTGCTCTGGACCTCCCAGACAGGAGGATGACACTGACAAATTATTCCTTGAGGAACTAAGGGACAATTCCCGAGTCAGCTGCCCCAGGGGACTTCAACCTGGCTGAAATTAACTGGGAGCATCAAACAGCTGGTATAACCCAGGCCAGAAGGTTCCTAAAACACCTGCATGACAACTTCAGGGAACAGGTCCTCAGGGAAGGATGATCTTGATCTCTTGCTTGTCATCAGGGAGGATGTCATGAACAAAGTGAACACTGGGGCCAGCTTGGTCACAGTGACCACTGAGCCATCGAGTTTAAAATTTCTGGTGACAGGAGGAAAAGTGCCAGAAAAACCTCAGCTCTGACTATGAGGAGAGCAGACCTCAGGCTGCTCAGGCAATTAGTGTGTAAGGGCCCCAAGGAAATGTTTTCACAGGTGCTGGGGTCCATCAGTGCTGGTCATTTTTAAGCATCATCTCCTAAGGGCACAGGAACAGCAATTCCTAAATGTCAGGAGTCAAGCAGGTGAGGCAGAAGGCTGGCTTGGCTGACCAGGGATTTCTCTTGGAAATAAGATGGAAAAGGAAGGTGTGTGCCCAGTGGAAGCAAGGTCAGGTGATGTGAAAAGAACATAGAGATGCTGCCCACTGTTGGGAGAAAATTCATACAGGCAAAGCTCAATTGGAGTTGAAACTGCCAGAACTGTGGAGAACAATAAAAATATTTTTTTGAAATGTATAAATAGCAAAAAGCAGTTTAGAAATAATATTTCCCCCTTCCAGGATGAGGATGGTCACCTCACAAACAGGGACAGGGACAAGGCAAATGTATTTAATGCTTTCTTTGCCTCTATCTTCAAATGGATGATGGATCTCAGTGCTGTGAGCTGGAGGATCATCACTGTGAGAATGATCAACTCCCAGCTGACCTAGAAGTTGTGCAGGATCTGCTGCTCCAGCTGGATCCCTGATGGGATTCATCCAAGAATCCTCAAGGAGCTGCTGATGTCATTACAATGCCTCTCTTAATGATTCATTTTTGAGCAGTCTTGGGAATCCACAGAGGTTGACTGGAAGCTGCTGAGTGTTGTGCTGATTTTTAAGAAGGAGAGCTCCAGAGACATCAGACCTGTCAATGCCAATTCAGTGCCTGGTAAAATCATGGAAAAGATTATTCTGGGAAGTATTGAAAAACACCTAGAGGACAATGCAGGCATCAGTCACAGCCAGCACAGCTTCCTGAGGGGAAAGTCCTGCTTGTCAAACCTGATTTCCTTCTATGACAGAGCAACCTGCCTGGTTGATCCAGGAAAGCTGGCAGGTGGAATCTTTATGGACTGTAGCAAAGCTTTTGATACTGTCTGTTACAGGATCCTTCTGGACAAAATGTCCAGCCCACAGCTTGATAATTGTGTTATGGGTGAGGAGCTGGCTCGTGGGTCGGGCACAACAGGTGACAGTGACTGGGGTGACACCAGGCTGGCACTGGTCACTGGTGGGGTTCCACAGGTCTTCATCCTCAGCCCTGTTCTCTTCAACATGCTCACTGACAGCTTGGACACAGGGCTTAGAGGAATACTAAGTGAGTTCACAGCCATCACCAAGCTGGGAGGAGCTGTCACCTCCCTCAAGGGCAGAGAGACCTTGACAAATCAGAGGTAGACACTCACCAGCTGTGTGGGGTTTAAAAAGGGCAAGTGCTGCATTCTGCACCTAGGACAGGGCAACCCTGGCTGTGTGTGTGGGCTGGCTTAGGGTTAGGGCTGGAGACCAGCTGTGGGAAGGGTCCTGGGGGTCCTGGTCCATGGCAATATGAGTCACCAGTGTCCTGGCAGCCAGGAGGGACATCCTGGTCCTGGGGGGCATCAGGGAGGGGATTGTGCCACTCTGCTCTGCACTGGGGTGACCTCACCTCGAGGCCTGGGGGCAGGTTGGGGCACCACAGTGTAAAAAAGACATTAAGGTATTGGAGAGTGTCCAAAGGAGGCCATGAAGATGGGAAGGGTCTGGAATGGCCTTATGAGGAGTGGCTGAGACTTGGTTTGTTCAAGGAGGAGACTGAGGTCAGACCTCACTGTGCTCTTAACATCCTCTCACAGGGAAGTGGAGGGGCAGGTGTTGATCTCTTCACTTGGCCAGGGACAGGACTCAAGGAAATGGCATGAAGCTGATTTGGGGAGGTGTAGGTCAGATGTCAGGAAAAGATTTTCCACCCAGAGGATGGTTGGGCATTGGAACAGCTCCCTAAGGAAGAGGTCACAGCACCAAGCCTGCCTGAGTACAAGAAGTGTTCAGACAATGCTCTCCAGCACATGGTGTCTTTCTTGGGGTGCCTGGTACAGGTCCAGGAGTTGGACCAGATCCTGACAGGTCCCTTCCAACTCAAGGATATTCTGTGATGGAGCTGGAGCACATCAGTGCCAGGAATGTTTCACTGCTTTGCTGGGGAGAGCATCAGCAAAGTGCCTGAAGGGGTGCAACTCTCAGGGCAGAGCAGCAGACTATAAAACCACCTTCTGTACTTAAATATGGACAGAATATGCTGAGTGAGGCTACTCCTTAATTATCAGAACCTTGATGATAATTTAAACCCAGTGAGCAACTGCTGAAGGAAGGACTTCAGGGAACTGCCCAGTCCAGTGCAGACCTCACACTTTGAAGACTCAGGGATTTTGTTTGGGGATTTGTTTTGGGATTTTTTGGTGTGGTTTTTTGTTGTTGTTGTTGTTTGTATGGTTTTTTTTCCTCAAGTTTTCTGCAGGAAGTGTTCCCCAGCTCAAGGAAATAGGTTAGCTGCCTTGTTAGCTGCCAGCTGGCCACTCACTATGGCTTTACTGATAACGCTGTGTAGGAATTCGTGCCAGTATAGCTTTCTGTGCCAGGGATCTCACTTGAGAGCCACACCAGCAGTGTAGACATGGCCCGAGGGGCTGTCCAGCTGCTCTGTCTGCTTTGTCTCAAGGCAGGGAGGACTCAGGATCTGCTGTTGCAAAGCCTGGGCAGCCAGTTCCAATGTTACAATGCAGGGTGGGATTTGACTTGAAAACTCTCCAGGAGTAGAAAAGATGTGAGAGCAGGCTGTGTGTGAGTTTGAAGGGAGGGAGCTGGGTCAGGTGGTGAAATGGAACTGACCTGTGTGCTCAGTGGCCTGAGTGGCTTCCTGAAGGAAAGAGATCAAGGTATCAGGTTGCTTACGGTGTGTGGTTTTGTCTTCCAAACTGTTACAATTCATGAGGGTTATGGCTGATTTCAGTGAAATTTTGTAGAACCACAAGATGGTTTGGGTTGAAGGGACCCTAAAGCTCATCTTGTTCCACCCCCCTGCCATGGGCAGTGACATCTTCCACTACACCAAGTTGTAGAGGAATGGGGTCTTGGGGATGCTGGATCCTTAATGGCTTCCAGAAAGCGTAGGAGAAGATCCAGGAATGTCCTTGTTAAGAAAGAGGATACAGAGAGAGTTCCCTGTTAGTAGGTAAAAGAGGAACTGTGCATATGAATGCAAGAGAAGCAGCATTAAGAGGACCCTGTTGGAGTGTGAAGCTTTAGGCATGCAGAAGGGTGACCAGGGTCTCTTGTGCTGCAAATTCTCAGATGTTGTTTGTATTCTTGATACCATCATGCACTTACCTTTTAAGCCACATTAGTGTGTTTTTTGTAGAAATGGTGTACCAGAAGTTTAGGCCTTTAAAAAGGGATGTACAGGCTCCTTCATCAGTGTCAGAGGGGTTTCTCTTGACAGTGACTGTATCTATAAACCTGAAATTTGAAACAAAGCAGCTCAGCAATTGTTGCTACAATAGTATTGCATTTACCTGCCCCAACCATGGCATAAAAAAGCAAATTGCTTTTCAAATTGCTGCTTTTTTTCTGATGGATTCAATCAGACTCTCTCCTGTTTGCCTCCCTTATTGCTTTTCCACTCTCCCAGCCCAGCCTTCCAGCCAGGAGGGAAAAAAGTCTTTATTCCACCAGTCAGAGAGCAACACTGAAGGTAAGAAAGGCACTGCATGGGATGAGATCAGGATGTCTGTATTTACCTGCACTTCACTGAGCCCCTGGTCCTTATTCCCTTCTGCTGTTTTCAGCTTTTCCAAGTCACACAAGAACTAAAGAACTCTTCAACTTTGCTGCCATCTAGGTAGTTTAGAAAAGTAATAATGATCACTTGGCCATGTTGTTTAACCAGGTGCCAGAGACTTCAGGATGTAGAGCTCCATCTTCACTTTTCAGCTGGCTGGAATTCCAGCTCTTTGGAACTGAAACCAGTTCACCAAGTCAGGCACCTCCAGCCAGGCTGGATGCTGCACAGGAAGGCAGTGGAGTCAAGCTGGGGCTGCTGGAAATGATCTCTTGGTTTATAATCAGGTCTAAAGAGTGGGAATGGCTAAAACCATTCCTTTCATCTGTTGTTTTGATGTTTTTCCTGAAATGCAAGCTGAAGAAAAGGAAGTGTCCTGTGAAAGCACTGTAGTGACAGAAACTGTCCTGCTCCAGGGATGCTGACCCAGGAGAGGGCAGCAGCAGCCCAGGCTGCAGGCTCCTGCAGCTTTTCTAAAGCTTTGATTTTCACTTCCATGGGGGAAATGAGCCTGCAAAAAGCTTGGAAAGAAATGCAGCAGAGAGTGAAAGGCAAACATCAGCTGGAGGGAGGAGTAGTACACTCCTTACCCACAGATCTGTGTGCTGTCCTCATGGAATTGGAAGGGTGAGTACAAGGAAATACTGTCCAGTGCACTGACACTGCTGTATGGATTGTGGGAGCCCCTTTCCATGTCCTGGACAAGCTGCTGGGGACTGCACAGTGTGACAGGATGTTCTACAGAACCTGGCTCTGGTTCTTTATCATCCATTTCCTAGTGAGCTCTCATGTTTCCTCATGTTCCTTCCCTTGCAAAATACTTTAGGATAAAGCAAAGCAAGTAGCAGCACTTTGCTGACACGGGCTGGCTTTTAAACCCTGCTGTTTGTGGGAGAATGACCACAGGTGGTCTCTTACCCAGAAAAGCTGCTCTTCCTTCTCCTTTGGCATTTCAGGTGTGGACTGTCCTTCCTCCTTGCTCAGTCTTTTAGCCTGACATTTTGTAAAGAGCACAGTGAAACTCAGACTGGTCAAACAAATTCTGGTCACAGCCTTACTCCTTTAAGTTGTGATTTCTCTCTGCAGTTGAGTCTGTGCCTTTTAGACCAGACAGACAGGCAGCTTGTTCTTGTATTCTTGATCTCACTAGGTGTAGAAAACACCGCCCTGGAACACCCACCTTGCCAGTATGAAATATTTATCCCATGAGGGGGAGGAGGAGGAGGTGCTTTGAGCTTACTTCAGTCACATTTGTCTGCATAACAGACTGCTGAGAGTAGCAGACACCCTATTTGTGTGGGAATCCATCTTTCCCAACATCCCATTGGTAATGTTTTGTTTTCCCTACTTACACCTTAGTAATGGATCTGCTCTGCTCTTCATGTGGCTCTAAATTGTGTGTCTCCATTTTCCTGATGTGTTTTTTTCAACTTCTGAAAGTAAAATACAAAACTGTTTATCAAAACTCTCCTACAGCACCTGAGCTCAGGAAGCATTTGGACAAAGCTCTCAGGCACATGGTGTGACTCTGGGATGGTCCTGCACAGGACCAGGAATTGGGCTTGATGATCCTTGTGGGTTCCTTCCAGCTCAGCTTATTCTGTGGTTCTGTAAAATGATTTGTTAAAGAAGTTGTAACTTTGTGAAACAGACTTTGGTTGCTTTTTCATAACTGCAGTGACAAAGGGAAATATCTTTCTCTTCCATTTGCTCTTTACCTTATAGGCACCCAAGTCTTTTTAAAATGTTTGTCCTAGTCCAGAGCCTTAGTAGAACACTTCTGAATGATCCTTGCTTGTCTCTTTGTACAAGTTCAGACCATTGTTAACCTCTTAAGAAAATATTATGGCCAAACTTTGATCTTGAATGTGTACACAGCCTGATTTTCTTTTAAAATGAGGGCTCATTTCCTTGGCCTCTGAAGCAAACAGGAATAGTATGTACTCAGTGCTTGAGATGGATTAGCCCAGAGCATTAGAGGTTTCATTATCATTTAATGATTATTCTTTATGCTGAAGTTTCAGTCATCTTCTTCCCTGCATGTAGATGGGAGAGGGCTTTTCTTTCATATCCAGCTACAGAGAGGAACTACAGAAATGGACCACCTGCAAGAGTGCTGTGTGTATGACTAAGAGCTTGTTTGGAAACAGACCCACTTTCCATGACTGTTCATTGTTCCCCATCTCCCACCTTGGAGCTGGCACTGCTCTGAAGAAAATGTTGAACCATTTCTGAGGTGTTTTGTGTTCCCCTCCAGCCAGCTGGAGGCAGCTCACAGCAACCTGTAGAGCACAGATTCCTGAGTTTTCTTTCTTCCTTCTTTCTGCTCCACAGAGACTCCCCAGCTGAACCCTGTGATGGAACCCCTGTCCTGGATGCTGGGCACCTGGCTCTCAGACCCACCAGGAGACGTCACCTTCCCTACAATGAAGCCCTTCCAGTACCTGGAGGAAGTGCACATCTCTCACGTGGGGCAGCCCATGCTCAACTTCTCGTAAGTCCAGGGGTCTGCCTGTGTTGGCAGCAGCTGCTGGACTGGAGCAGGCAAAGCTCCAGGATCATTTGCTAGTTGGGTTTCTTTTCCACTGGCAAAGTGCACAAATTCTCACCTACCAAATGAGATAATGATGTGGTATGTGACTGCATGATCTGACTTTCATTTTCCTTGAAAACTTGTGATTAATTGGCATTCTTTGTGAAATTCCCAATTAGAAGAAATGAAGGAGCTGTGGCATGGCTATCAGGTTTGTCCATTTTAAACTCAGTCTTCACCACTGTGAAAATCTGAGAAAAATTAGTGCTTATCAAACCATATAGGATAGGAGGCAGGTAACTTCACTACTTGCTTTGGCTGCAAGTGATTATTCTAGGAGAAATCAAAAGAAATCCAGAGAGAAGGAAGTAACAAGTTGGCTATTGCTCAGTACTGCTCCAGTGTTCCTTTGGGAGGGGTGAGTTGGAAAATGTGTTGCTTTGAAAACCAAGAAAAGAAGAACTACAAGATGGAAGTGCTGCGTGGGAGATACACTCCAGGTACACAGGGTAATGGAGCTGCCAGCACAGCCTGTGACTGCTTTAGTCCAATTTCCAAAAGAAATAAAGCTCTGACAGCCTCACTCTGACTGCACCTCCCTCCTCAGCTTGTGAACAGTTGCTTATTTGAGTCACTTTTTTTTTTCCTCTCCTTTTCTTTGTACCAAGGAGTTACATAGCTGTGAACTGTTGAGCTGTAGGAAGCACCAGGAAAATAGGCACCAGTCTTGGAGGACAGACACCTTTCCTGGCTCCTGGAGCAGTGGCTCTTAAAAGACAGTCCCTGTATCCCTTAAATGCTCCAAGCACTGAAAGCTGCCTGATTTAAGTTTGTTTCTCCTTTGGTATAATCACTCCTGGGTGACCAAACCTACAATTCTTGAGTCCTCCTGAAGAATAAGTAAGAGTCTGAGCTGAACTTTTTATCATTTTGAAGGGGATGATGGGAGAAATATATCTGCTCTGTTGCTTCCTACAGCAAGGAATATACAGAAAAAAACAACTTAGCCAGGTGTAAAAGCTAAATAGAGATGATACAGTAATACCAGATATTTATTGGAGAAAAGGAAGTTTTTGAGACACGTGTGGCTTCAGCATCTGTGAAACATCTGAGTTCCTGAGGGGTTTCTGAGCTAATTCTTGGAAAGACCCTGGGGCTGTGGAAAATCTAAAGCTTGAAGACTTAACTCCAGCTCTAAGAAATAGCTGTGCCTCTGTAAAGTAACCATATTTTTCCAGATTTACATCTCTCTAATGTGAAGTGTTGTCAATTTTTACTCTTCAAAGAGTACTGCAGGCACTCACATGGTTAAATAAGAGGAAACCAGGCCAAAACAATGTCTTTTGAGTGTAAAACACATCAGCTTTTGTTCTCTGGTTTCCCCTCAGGTTCAACGCCTTCCACCCAGATACCAGGAAGCCCATGCACCGGGAATGTGGATTCATCCGCCTCAAACCTGACACTAACAAGGTGGCCTTCATCAGTGCCCAGAACACAGGTACACCCCTGATACCCACACTGGGCAAAAGAAGAGCTCCTTACCCTGCTGGGCCATTGCATCACTTTTTTCAGAAAGTTCTTACACCTCTCAGTGTTTTATTTAAGTAATTTTCCCTGTCAGAATCGCTGCTCTTTGGTGCTGGACACACAGTGGTTCCTAAACTGGGAAAACCTCCCAGTGTGTGGATGTAGCACCTTGGTACTTCTTACCTTATGAGGACTGAAGGAGAGAACCACATCTCAATTATTATAAGTGAAAGTCTTAAACCCCAGTTGATGCTTAAATTTGCAGCAACAATGACAGGTGCTGAAGGGAAGAGTGCCAGTTGTGTTGTGATACTCATCCCACATGGTGTGAATAAGCCTGGCTGGATTTTTGTGTTCCATGTCTGAGGTTGTGTGGCTCTGCAGTTCTCAGTACTGCTAGGGCAAATAAAACCATTCTTCACAGGGAGTGCTGGTCTCTTAAGTTGCCTAATAGAGCATGGAATGGTTTGGGTTGGAAGGAACCTTAAAGCCCATCTTGTTCCACCTCCCTGCCATGGGCAGGGACACCTTCCACTAGACAGGTTATTCCAAGCTCTGTCCAACCTGACTTTGAATATTTCCAGGGATGGAGCAGCCACAGCTTCTCTGGGCACCCTGTGCCAGGGCCTCACCACCCTCACAGGGAAGAATTTCTTCCTAATATCTATCCTAAATTTCTCCTCTTCCAGATTAAAAACTTTTTGCTTGTCCTGTCCTTATCTGGATGTATAAAAAGTCCCTCTTCCTATTTTTTATAAGCACCCTTTTAGTACTGAAAGGCCAAAATAATAATAGTGACATGCTTAAATAACCTTTGTAGCCTAATAATATGTATGCCCTTGCTTTTCTCTAGGTCTGGTGGAGGTGGAGGAAGGGGAGGTGAATGGACAAGAGCTGTCTATAGCTTCTCACTCCATAGCCAGGATCTCCTTTGCCAAGAAGCCCCATGTAGAGCAGGTGAGTGCACAGAGTGAGCCATTCCCATGGCATTGCTTGCCCCAGGAGGAGTCTAGCTGAGAGGATATGCTATTTAGCATGCTTTAATTACAGAATGCCATCAGGAGTTCTTGGAACTACTGCACTGGCATCCTGGCTTATTATTTCTGTAAGAGCCTTCAGAAGAGATTTTGTACATTATGAGACCCAGAGGGATCATTATGATAAAAACTGATAGGCTGGATCAGACCAGCTAACCCAGAATCCTGTCTCCAGAATGGCCAGTAGCAGATCCTTGGGGAAGAAAATAGGAAAGTCTTAGCTGAATACTCTTTTATGGCAATGGGATTAGTTATTAATGCTGGTTTTCTGGATTGATTGCAGTATGAATGAGGATGCACATTTAAGGTATGGTTGGCATTGTGTCTCATGAGGATATTTCAGGAATATCTGCAGATCTTGCTCTCTTTTCACAGCATTCAGACCTTGCTCTGGGCTCTTTTCCCATCTGTGGCTGCAGGGCTGGCACTTGCTGTCAGCTCCACATTTGGTTGGCTGCTTTTGGGGGTTAGACATTTTTTGGGTGTGTAGTGGGGGTTTGTTGATACAGCTGGTAGGGGCACAGTCAGATGTGAGTACAGTGGCACTGCTGGAGTCAGTGTGGCGTATTGAGGTCATCTCTGGAAGTGACACTGCCACATCTGAAGCTGTCATGGCTGAGCAGCAGCTGAGAGACAGCAAGGCTGAATAAGCTCTCACAGCCTGTTTTTTGTGTGCTATAAAACTGACCCTTAGACAACAGAGAGCACAAGTTTGTGCAGATGTAGACAAACATTTTATTTGCCTACACAGGGAGTATCCTAAGTTTGGAAAGTCCCAACTCCCCTGCCTTTGGATGCATGTTTTCAGTTGTTGGGTTTCCCCTTTCTCAGGAACAGCTGTATTGCCTCATTCCTATAGCAGAAGTAAAGCCATTAGATACTGTGGATGTCAGCAGGGAAGCAGAACTCTTAATTGCAAACATTTAAATAAAAGGGACTGTCCTCTTTGAGTCACTGCCTGAACTGTGGGGAGATAGACTGGCAGGAGGAGAGGGAGAAGCACAGAGAGCCAGCAGATGTCTTCCTAGTTGAGGGCTCCAAGGCTGGCTTTGGCTGGAAGAAGGAAGCTCAGGCTGGAGGTCCATGCTCATCTGGCACCTGTGGGAAGCTCAGGCCCAGGGACTGGTCCTAGTGAGTATCTGGGAGGCCCTTGCTGGTGAGGGAGGGTGTGCAATGAGAGAGGTTGTCAGGAAACTGAGTCCCAGAGCCTTTTCTCCTTCACCAAGAACAGCTTAAATTGTCTGTGGAAACGGAGGCCACAGGTTTGTGAGAAGGACATGTGTGCTGCTGCTGTAGTTGCTCATTTTGAGAAAACTTCACCATATTGTTGCATTCCTGGTGAAAAGTGATTCAGGGTGGCTGAGGCTCAGCTGAGCTGTCACTGAGGCAGGAATGCCCATTTCCTGCACCAGGCTTTGTCATGAGCAGTTTAAGTTGCTGGAAGAATCACCTTTAAAGGTGTTATCAATGCAGATTTAATACACATTTGTGAAAGCACAGCTTAACAACATTTGATGGCAAGGTTCCCTCTGTATGTACTCATGGATGAGGAGGGGCAAGGACCTCCATTCTTTATTGGATGCAGGGGGAATATAGTAACTGAAGATGAGGAAAAGGCAGAGGTACTTAACACCTTCTTTGCCTCAGTTTTCTACAGAAAGACAGGTCATCCTCGGGGAAACTGGCCTCCAGAGTGGATGGATAAGGACAGGGAACAGAATAGTCCCCCTGTAATCCAGGAGGAAGCAGTTCCACTCACATACTCTCAGGTGTCTCTGGGACAGATGGGATCCATCCTAGGGGGATGAGGGAGTTGCTGGATGAGCTCCCCAAGATGCTGTCCATCATTTACCATCAGTCCTGGCTCACCAGGGAGTTTCCAGAGAACTGGGGGTGCCAATGTGACCCCATCCACAACAAGGACCATAAAGATGCTCTGGGGAACTCCAGGCCTGTCAGCCTGACCTCGGTGGCCAGGCTCTGCAGAGGGACCCAGTCAGGCTGGCCAGATGGGCTGAGTCCAACAACATGAGGCTAATCAGTCCATGTGCCTGGTCCTGCACTTTGGGCACAACAACCCCCTGCAGCACTACAGGTGGGGACAGAGTGACTGGAGGACAGTGCCCAGGTGGAAAGGGACCTGGGGGGATTGGTCAGCAGCAGCTGAACACGAGCCAGCAGTGTGTCCTGGTGGCCAAAAAGGCCAATGGCCCCTGGCCTGGATCAGGAATAGTGTGGCCAGGAGGACCAGGGCAGTGATTCTTCCCCTCTGCTTGGCACTGGTGAGGCCACACCTTGAGTGCTGTGTCAGTTCTGTCCCCTCAGTTTAGGAAGGACGTTGAGATGCTCAGACACATCCAGAGAAGGGCAACAAGGCTGGTGAGGGGCTTGGAACACAAACCCTATGAGGCACAGCTGAGGGAGCTGGGGGTGTTTAGCCTGGAGAAAAGGAGACTCAGAGGAGACATCATCACACTCTGCAACTCCCTGAAAGGAGAGTGTAGCCAGGTAAGGGTTGTTCTCTTCTCCCAGGCAACCAGTGACAGGACAAGAGGACACAGTCCTAACCTGCACCAGGGGAAGTTTAGGCTGGACATTAGGAAAAAGTTCTTTACAGAAAGCATGATTAGGCACTGGAATGGGCTGCCCAGGGAGGTGGTGGAGGTGGGGGGTGTTTAAGAAAAGCCTGAATGTGGCACTCAGTGCCATGGTTTAGTTAATTAGATCGTTTTAGGTCATAGGCTGGACTTGATGGTCTCAAAGGTCTTTTCCAACTTAGCTAATTCTGTGATTCTGTGAACCTGCCTTGTTCCATGGATAATGGGCTTGGAGCTGGTATTGTGGAGAGGGCAGCTTTCTTTAGGAGAGAAAATTGCTTGTTTATTTGCCTGCTGTAGTGAGGATGTCCTTCCTTGGTGGTGCATTGACAGCAGGCATGTGGATGGCAAAGGGAAGAAAGCACAGGTAAGGGATTCAGCTTGTGGACACTCATTGCTCGATTTCCTCATTTCTTTTCCTCCCCCTGGTTTAGATTACCAGAAAATTCAGGCTCAATTCCGACGGGAAACTCGAACAAACTGTCTCAATGGCAACCACTACGCAGCCCATGACTCAGCACTTCCACATTACCTACAAGAAGGTGACACCCTGACCCCAGGTGTGCCAGGTCTCCTCGCCAAGGGCAAGGAGCAGGACATCATGCACCAAGAGCAGCAGCAGCAGCTCAGGAGCATGGCATGGCAGACCCTGGAGCCAGCTGCCTGCGCTCATCCCTGGGCCCCAGAGCTGCCTGTCCTGTTGAGAATGTTACTCAGATGTTTCTGTAATGGTATATAAAAAAAAAAAAATAAATAAAAAGCTTTTATTTTTATGGCTGTGTCTTCAGTGTGACTGCAGGGTGGTGTGTGCTGCCTGCTGCTTGGCAGTGCTCACAGAGGGACTTTGTGCTGCCTGTTCATTTGTAGGTGTTGGGTTGGAAATCCAACATCCCAGACAAACTGGATAACTTTGGGGTTCTGGAATGGATTTGCAATGCAGGGAAAGACTCTGAGAACTCCAGAGCTGTCCAATGAAGCTTGGCTTAAATATCAAGAGGGAGCACCTGCATCTTTCTCTGGGATATAGGAAACTGTCACAGGCCCTGATGCCAACCATGCTGTCCAGTGGTTTGATGGGAATTGCTGAAGTGGGAGATTGGGGCCAGACATCAGTGCAGAATATCACAAGAGTTTGGGGGACAGCTGTGAGCCAAGAAGCAAGAGAAACCGCTAACAGTGCCTCCATGACCCCTCTGAAATGAAAAGCAGGATGCTGAGAAGGGCCTTGCCTGATTTCTTCTGCCTGTTTGCTCATTACTGCAGGACTGGGGGAGTGGGAGCTGTGGGAGAGGGAAGGATGCATCTGCAGGAACTTGGGGAGAGGGTGGGATAAGGCTGAAGAACTGGTGGAGAGGGAATAATGTGGATGTTGAAAATGGAAGAGAGGGGCCATTCCTGATCAGTCCAAAGCAGCCTTCTGTGCTGCTTTCCTTATTCCTGTGGGGATGCAGCCCAGAAAGAGAAGAGGAAAGAGAGAGCCTGGATCTCTCAGCAGGTTTCTAAGGGAGCAATGTCTGCCCTTCCTGAGGGATAGAGACAGATGGAGATGGGGGCAGACCCTCCTCTTCTTGTCCCACAGCAGCTCTGTGGTCCTGGGGAGGCAGCCCTGGCACAGCCACGAGCTGAAGGGCACTGCCTGTGGGAGAAGTGACCCCAGCCAGGACAAACCTATTCCGGGGGTCTCCTCTGAAGAAGCCCAGAGCCCTTCCCCATTCTGGGGCATCACCAGGAGCTGTGTGGTGGCTGTGCTTCCCAAAGGGTGCCAGGTCCTCACTGCCACTCTGCTCTACCCCCTTCCATGGCCCAGGTGGCTGCAGAACTCCTGGCATGGGGCTGAGCTGCTGCCCACCCCTCCCTGCTGCCTTGGCAGACCTTGTTTCCCAGGAATGGCCCCAAACATTGGTGCCAAGAGTGTTGGGGGCTGTGCCTGCCCCAGCCAGGGAAAATGAGCATGGGATGAGGCTTCTCAAGGCAACCACAGCCTCATGGTGCCTTCTGCCCTGGAGACATGGAAATCTCATGGAGGTGTGAGTGGGAAAACCCTGGCAAGGAGGAGGTGGCTCTTTGGTACTTCCCAGCACTCCCCCTGAGCAGCACCCTCCTGTTGGAGGCTCCAGGCTGTAACAGATCCCGTGGAAGGAGGCCTCCTTCATGGGAGCTGCTCAGAGACAGGGATCCAAATGATGTCTTTGGGACATATGGGAAAGAGGCAGGAGAGATCACCTGGCAGACCAGGTACGTGTCCTCCCTTGCCAGGGCATTGGAATGCCTTCCCCCCTGAGGAGAGGAGCATGGCCCATGCTCTGCAGCAAGGAACACAGGATGCTGCAGCACCCAGAGCAGTGCCAGGGCAGCACCACGGTGGCTTCTGGGAGGATCGAGCTCTGGCCAGAGAGGGGTCATGGTTGAGAGAGACTCAGAGTGAGGCTGATCCCAGAGGAAGAGCTGCAGTACTGGCAGGAGGTTTGCTGCACTTTGGCAGGAAAAACCATCCTGGATCACAAGCATCACTCTGGCTGAATGTGACCTGGGGCACGGGGTGTGTGTGTGTGCAGGCATAGCCCCCAGAGAGCAGCCAGTCCTCTGTCTCCCACTTCCATCCTCCTGCTGTTGCAAATGGATGTTAACTTGCTGGGAATTGCTCTCAGCCTTGCTGGTTTTTAGCTGGGCTTTTAAGAGGAGCAGTGGGAACCACCCCAGTGCTGGCTCCAGGCGATTCCCACCGGACCCTGGTGGTTTTGGCATGTGCAAAAATGAAATAAAAGCCCGGGTCTCTGGGGAGCCAGCCAGCCGAGAGCGGATGAGCGCTCCCATTAATGTGTCATTAATGTGCAGCTCTGGCGTCGGCTCTTTTGGCAGTGCAGAGGTAATTACAACCCAACTGCAAAGCGTTGCACATGGATTTATTTACTGCCTTATTAGCAGCATCTGTTCTCCCAGCAAAGTGGCCCAGCTGTTTGCTCTGGTTCAGGGAAACCAGTGGAACTCATGCCATGGATGGTCCGTGCTAGCTCACCTGCTTGGGCTGAGGGAGGTGAGCACACCACTGTGGTTTCATTTTCACCCTGCTTGTTGGTTTAGTGCCTCTCCCAGCACAGCATGAAGGGGGCACAGAGCTTTATCTAGATTGATGATTGGACTTGGTCTTAGAGGGTTTTTCCAACTTTGATGATTCCATGACTTGATTCTATGATTTTTCTGATGGTAAAACATTGTGGGGCAGTGCTGGGAGACAGATGGGAAGAGAAATGCTGCTGGGATCTCAAACACAGCCACGTCCTTCAGGTTTGGGATGAAGCTCTGTGTCCCCTTCATGCTGTGCTGGGAGAGGCACTAAACCAACAAGCAGGGTGAAAATGAAACCACAGTGGTGTGCTCACCTCCCTCAGCCCAGGCAGGTGAGTTAGCACGGACTATCCATGGCATGAGTTCCACTGGTTTCCCTGAACCAGAGCATCAAACTTCCTCTGTGTTCTCCACTAAACCATGTCCTCTAGTGCTACTTCCACACATTTTTTTGAACACTCCCAGGGATGGTGACTCCACCACTGCCCTGAGTAGCTCATTCAAATGCTTGACAAGCCTTTCAGTGAAGAATTATTCCCTAATATCCAACTTAAACTTCCCCTGGGGCAGCTTGAGGCCATTTCCTCTTGTCCTACCCTTTGTTCCCTGGGAGCCGAGCCTGACCCCCCTGCCTGTCCTCTCCTGTCAGGGAGTTGTGCAGAGCCAGAAGGTTCCCCCTGTGCCTCCTTTTCTCCAGGCTCAGCCCCTTTCCCAGCTCCCTCAACCCTTCCTTATAAGTCTTGTGTTCCAGACCCTTCACATCTCGGTTTCCTTCTCTGGACAGAACTCTTTTCTCCAGCAAGAGCCGTGGGGATGGCTGTGCCTGGAGCTGCAGGACCCTCAGCTCACTCAGAGCTGCAGTTGCCTGTGCTCCCCAGAGTGTTGCTGCTGCTGAGCCACAGCAGCCAAATCAGTGCTGCAGCATCCACTGCCTTGGCTGCTGAGCACATTTCCCAAGGAAAACCTGGCTTTGTTAACGAAATGTTGTGGCAAATGCAAGTGAAGCAGCTGCAAATCCACCGGAGGAGCCAGTTCATTGAGGGCACAGAGCAATCAAGGGAGGTGGGAAGCACCATCCAAAAGGATTTATTGCCTGTGGTGGGAGATGAGGTTCCTCAATAAAAATTCACATGTGGCCCATGCCAAGCAAGGTGCCAGGTTGGGAATGCAAAAGCATAGAATTACAAGTGTAAATATTTATTCATGGCCATGAGATGTCCCAGCCAAATCAGGGCACTCAGGTGTGGTTTTTTATGAGGTTCTTATGTCCATCAAGCACTCAGGTAAAACAGAACTTGACTGAGCACTGAGACCCACACTAACAGATCTCCAATCACAGTCAAATTTGGCAAAGCCGCTCTATTTCTGCCTGTCGATCGATCCAGGTGTCCTTGAGCCCCTCTGGCTGTAGTGACTGACGTGGGACACCAGACAAGGCTGGCAGGGTCTCAGAGCCTGGGATGCTGTGGTACATTGGTCATCCCAGGGATAAAGCTGTTCTTCATCCCTCGGGGGCTGCTCTAAGCCTCACAAAAGCAACGTCCTTCTCTCCAGGGCCAGACTGTCCTTTTGTTTGTTTTACTTCAGCACAAACTATACCAAAGTCTTCAGTAAAACTCCACTGCTTATTTACATCACAGTGTTTAATTAATATATATATAGTATATATACATAAAATTTATACACTTTTGTAATATAAAGGATACTTGACAGTTAGGGAGGGGATTTTTCATCACATTTGACAAGCTTGTCACACACCAGGGTCTCCACCAAGCTGCTGCTCCTTTCTGGCACCATCCGTCCTCCAAGCAGCCCCTGCTCATCACATCTGCTGCCAGAGACTGAAATGGTTTTTGTGCCTCAAACATTGATATAAAGTTTTGCTCACTGTGACAAAAACTGTATAAAGAAGCTACAACCAAAAAGCCTTCCTGAAGATGCTTGACTGGGACTTTGGACTGAAAATCAAACTGCTGAGATTAGATAAAGGGAAAAGCCATTCTTCAATCACCTGAAACCAGCAAGTAAACAAGGAAAAGAATGTGAGCCAACCCCAGCAGCTGTGCTGAGAATCATCTCTGGCTTGCTTCGGTGTGGGGGAGGCCATAGCCCCCAGACCCATTTGCTGGGAGAAGATTTGCACAGATTTCCCCCCCAGGTGAGGTGGGGGTAGGAAGTTTGGGTGTGTTGTAACCTCTGCTCAGGGCAGTGAACTCATCCTCCCCTACACAGACTGCCTATGGAACCCCCGGTCCTGGGAATGCCACATCCATGGGACATCGACTGAGAGGCAGCTGAGGGGGTGCCTTAATCCATCAAAGACCCCCAAGGTGCTCCCAGAGTCATTCCTGAAGCCTTGCACCACAGGACTGCACGGGATGCAACAAACCCGGAGTCTGCTGTAAGAGACAATGGCAAATTCCCCCTCTGCCCCCCAGGGAGGTGCCTGGATTTTCCTGCCTGGCCTGAGTGTTTATTAACCCATCAGATTGTATGCTTTTTGAGGGGACCTTCACTGTAACAATGGTGGGAGTTTTGCACCACTTAATTAGTGGTTTGTTATAGTCTTTTCTGCCTTCACTCAGAGCCAGGATTAACAAATACATGATGGAAATGGATTTTCTTGTGTTCAGGTTTGGTTGTTTATTAAATCTTATTAGAAAGTACAGAGCATTCAGCAGCACTTCTAGCTACCTGCTAGAATTGA